ACAAGTCCGTGTTACATTTCCTGGTGAGTAGCACTTCACTTTCTTACCTCTTGGAGCCTGGCCTGGAAGGGCCTTCACCTTCTCTGTGCTCACTAGTGCCTGCCTATGTTCTTTTGACTGGGATGTCCCACCCATCGTGGTCTCTTTCAACCACCGCTACTCACCCTTTTGACGATTCCTCAAGGGCTCGTCTCTTCACCATCCAACTTCAGGTCCCTGTTGGGCACCAGCTGTCAGGATCTCCCCCTCCAGGAACTGGCCAAGTTGCCGCGAAGGAAGAGTCGAGGAGACTGAGGAAAGTCAAGCTAAAAACTTTTTATTGGTACTCTAGGCAACTAGGAGGAGAGATCACTCAAGCCTACTCCTGAAGGCACAGGGCGCTATGGTCCAGAAGCTTCTCCCCACAGGCACAAGGCACTACAGACCGGGGAGAAAGGCAGAGCAATCTCTGCTTTACAGTGTCTGAGGGTTCCCTTATATACGGTTTCCAGGGGTCAGCCCCGCCCTCGTGCCGACCTCCCAGGGTCCCATAGTCATAGCAACGATGGTTATGACAGTTGATTTGCAGTTTGCAGTTAGGCTATTATAGTGGTTTTGCAGATAGGCCGTTATAATGGTTTTGCGGTTAGGCCATTTCCTCTTTCAAACTGCGCTATAGTGCTATAGCATGGTTACTTTCTCCTTGAATGGGTCCCTAACAAGTTCCTCTTTCTCCATGTCCTTATCAGCATTTGTTACTGAAGAGCCAAAGTGACTCCATTTTAAAACAATGAAAAAAACAGCCTCCATTTTCCATAGCAGACCCAAGTCCTTGTAAAAGCAGGCATTCAGGCATTCTGGAGATATCAAAGCTTACCAGGGACAGCTAGCTCGGTAGCCCAAGGACAGCACAGTAGAGATTGCTAAACAAAGTACCTCCCTGTACCCAAAGCCCCCGTGCTGTAAGCCCCCACTGTAACTCCCTGTACCCAAAGCTCCTGTGATGTAAGCCCCCACTGTAACTCCCTGTACCCAAAGCTTCCATGCTGTATGTAACTCTTTTTTCCTTTAAAAACTCTCCCAAACAAAGACTGGGGCCTCACTCCTTCCTCTGCTGTGCCAGTAGGTTGGATGGGGTCCCTGTCACGGCTTGTACTCCCAAATAAACCTTGCTTTTGCAGTTCGGTGTGATCGACTCTCTGGGGGTCTCTGTGGGGATCTAATGATCTGGGCACAACATAATTTGGAGGCTTGTCCAGGATTGTGATCCCCAAAAGCCCCCCAGTGACCTCGACCCGAAGGTTTGCTCCAGTCTACTGGGTGAGTTCGTTAGTCTATTTGTTCGTTGTTTAATTGTGTCTAAGTCTGAATCTGTAGCATCGGCCATTGCATATGTATTCTGAATCTGTGGAGGGTCACTGCCCGAGCGGACGCACTCGCAGGGCACACTTCGGAGGAAATGGGAGACATCCCGATTCTTTGTCTGGGACCTGGGAAGGTCCAATCTGTATCTGGGGACGAAGAAGGAATGCTGCATAGTTCTCGTCCCATCCATAAGGTCTTTGGTCTCCTTCAAACTCCCGGAGGTTTGCCCTTAGAGGCTCCTGGAGGTTCGCCCTCGGAGCAGTCGAGACCTTCTGTAATATGACCATCTGAATCTGTCCACAGAAATTCTGTACGCACGTGTTTGTTTGTCTTTTTGTTAAGTGGTGTTTGTGTTATTTCTGTTGACAACTTGTTACCGGAGAAACTGCAGGGTTCTTGTCTTCACGCAAGAAAGAATTCAGGTGTGAGACAGAGAGTAGTGGGAGGTAAAATAGCAAGGTTTATTAGAGAAGGGACATCATTAAGGACGGATGGGCATCTCTCCAGACAGAGCCTGAGAGACTGGAGGGGATGGGGAGGGAGTGAGGTTACATGGTTGAGTAGAGAGATTACACCTGACCAGGCCAGGCAGGTGGCTCAGCAGAGGCAGAGGGCTGAGCGCGCAGTCCCGCAGTCCGGTGGAGGCCAGGGGTTTTTAAGGAGATGGGTCTTGCTTCCCCACCTCTGCTCCTCTTGGAACAAAGGGCTTTTTGGATGTAAATAGAAAAACTTCTATCTAAGTTTTCCCCTGAAGGTATCAGACAGGAGAAAACCCAGCTGGCGCCATCCCAGGTTCAGAGGAAGAGCGAGCAGGATCCCCTAGAGAATGGGGATCTGGAGCAGGGTGTTTGAAATGCAGATACTGGGCTGCACCTGGGAGATTGTGGAAGATTTGTCAGGCAGAAGGGGCGGGGATGCGAACACCAGGCTGCCCCTGAAACACTGTCAGGATGACTTTGAGATGCAGATGCATATGCTGGACATAGACGTCTTCTCTTTAGGCCTTTATGTCACACACACATAAGCTCATAACTGACTTCCTACCTAACAATCCTGATGAAGGGGCCGCAGAGGCCTAAAAAATTAAGTGTGCCTTGTAAAATCCTACAGGTGCTTTCAAAAATGCTATGTAAAGTAAACAAATGTCTCTTGTTAGTTAACAAGTTTGTAATTTTAAATATGACAACTTAAGGTCTTTTGTCATCCACAGTTTTGTATATCAGATTTACTGCTCATGAAACTAAAGCATTGTTGGTTCTGTGTTTAACTGTCCTCCTATAGCTTGCAATGGACTTTTTCCAGCTACATCTATTGTATTCAGTACTTTGGGATGACTCTGTAAACTGATAGAGCCAATAATGTATTACAGGTACCAACTGGAAAAAAGTATAGTTAACTGAGGTTACTAAGATCAAAAAATAATTCAAATCGATTGGTGATTTATAAAAAAGGTTAAAGATTCTAACAACTATCACTGAAACTGCTTTATTGTTCTGAGTATGGGACCCTGTAGTTTGCTGTGAAACTAAATGCATCTATCTGAATGTAGTTAGCCTTTAAATCAACTCCTCTGTATCATTTATGTATGTTTTCTAATGTCCCTGCTGGTCTAAATGTTCTGTATACAAGAAAGTTATTTCAAGTGTTACATATTGCTGTAGAGCTTGATTATATTGTAATCTGTAACAGAATGTTTCCCGTAAATTTAAACGGCTAAAGTTGATCGAAAATTCGTGTAACCTAAATCTCTGTAAACTTGTTAAAAGAAAAAAAACTGAAAACATTTTATATACTTGTGCTGAAATTTGCTGGTTAAACAAGCTACACCATGTTGGGTATCTAACAGATGTTTCCAAGTACATGTATTCTTAAAATTTGTGAAGGACATTGGACCTTCCGGTAGGTGTTTTCCTAAGTTGTTGTCTAATGATTGAATCTGCTTGCTAAGTTTTCATTTGATATTACTCTTAAAATGTGTGTGTATAAAAAAACTCCCCTGCCTTTTTGACCCTATTGCCATATATGATCATTCCTTGTGAGACTACTTAATTACTTGGATTAAAGACTAGCGTGAAAAATTAAAGCCTCTGCCAGACAACACCACACAGAGTAACGTATCTGTTTGCCTCTGGTGGTGCAAGGTTTTTAAGCATGGCTGGTAACTGGTAAGATTTTGTAGTGACAATCTGGCAGTATCCTTGCATAGCTATTTGGGTAAGGACATAAGTCAGTTCTGTTAAAGGTCAACCATGTTCAGAAATCAGAGTAACTCAGCCCACCTAAATATTCATAAGAAATGTGCCTGTAACTCTAGACTTCTAGTCTAGGCAACAAAAATTAGAGGTGGGACCGAGCACTCCCTTGACTTGCATTCTCTGGTCTACTTTAACAAAAACCAGGAGGAAAAGAAAACTGGACATCAGAAGCAATGTAAAGATGGGTGGCAGGCCTATTACAGGCAGCTCTGTACAGTGATCTGCCCTCGGGGAGACCCAACAGGCCAGGCCACCGCAGTGGATTTCGATGTGGTAAGCCTGGGCTTTAGCAGAAGTCAGCCTGTGAAGAGCCCTGGCAGCTCTGCCAGCCAAGAGTTGGATCACTGGAAATGGACCTGCCCTGGAGTTGAAGGACTTCAGGTCAGAGCCACAGATCTTACTGGCTCTAAGCTGAAAAGCCCTTCACTTAGCCCAGCCTCCAAAGTGACCGCCACTGTTGAGAGAATGGCCAAGTAGGGTCAGTAACATTGCAGACAGAGCTATAAATTTCCTGTTGGAGATGCCACCTACCTTTACCTGGCCAGCTCTCCTCCCAGGCCAGGTAAGTAATAAAAGTCAACAGAGTGCCTTCCCCAAGGAGGTTCACACCTCCCTTAAAATGAATGTACCCTATGTAAAAAGATAAATAGGTCTAGGTCCCTTAACTTACAAGGCCTAAAGCCACCAGGTTATTATCAAGCCCCTTTTATCAGGTTCTCTTTGCCTCTTAATTGGAAAACTTATTTGTAACTTGGACAACACCTTTCTTGACTCCTCTAATAGCAACTCTGTCCTTTGTTCTGGACCCTGTCTGGCCCACTCCTTGGCCTCATTCCTTTGTAATTTTGTTGCTTAGTAAAGTGAGTGGTATACAGACATTCTGTACCTATCCTGTGGGGACAGCAGTAGTATCTCTTAAGCAGTATTAGCATAAGTAGTGTACTTCAAAATGTAAATTACCTTGTTTAAAACTGTGACTTTAACATCTATGTAATTAGTGCATATGGTATCTACTCTCCATTATCAAAATAATTCATTATTAGGTAAATTTGGCTAGTAGGGAGTGCAGTTCTGTGAGCAGTATTTCCTATTAAATATCAACTACTGTCTCAGTTACACATAGCAACAGCAGCTCCGCCTTGTTCAGAAAAAGTAAATGCATAAAGTTAAAAAAAGACATGCTACAAATAACTAGTCATTATTCTATGTATAAAAGTAGAACAAAATTTAAACGCTGAGGATTTCTGTAAATTTTTTGTTCTTTGTAGTAGATTGCCGTTTATACTCCCAACATGTGTGTACTGATAATCCTCTCCCACACTAATGAGTGGCTTTTCTCCTGGTTTTGGCTGGAATCTGCTTTATTCTCACCCTGTCTCTATACTACGGTGTCTGTTTAAGTGTTTACAGCTGGTAATGGAGTGAACCAAGGCCTTCAGCAACCAGGCGGTCAACCAAATGCTACTACAGGAATGTGCTTGGCTCCCCACCCAGGAGACAGCAGCTTAAGGCATTGCCCCATGGCAGCGAAGAGTGCCTCGTTGCCCCACGTCACCAGGGGTGGCTCTGAAGACGAATTGTCATCCCTCTGCCCCTCTTGGACTTCTGGGACTGATGTGGTGGGCTGTGCTCCACTCTGGGAAAAAATGCTGCTTTTACGCTTGATCACTCGGGCCTTAAAAGATAACATGGCTGGCTAAAGTCAGGGAGGGGCTGGCAAAACAAAAAAGAGAACCGGAGGTCTCTCAGGGGTGGTTTGAGTCTTGGTTCAATTCTTCTCCGTGGCAAGTCACCCTACTATCAAGACTCATAGGGGCCCTTGTTCTCCTGATTTTAATTTTAACCTTCGGCCCTTGCATTGTTAACAAACTTGTGCAGTTTATAAAAAAAAAAAAAAAATTGGACACTGTTCAATTAATACTCCAACAGTCCCAATATAAACCCTTAAATGAAATGTCAGTCCAAAATCCATGATTGGGTTTTTCAAACATGTACAAAAACAAGGGGGGAATGAAGAGCCAAAGTGACTCCATTTTAAAACAGTAAAAAAAGCAGCCTCTGTTTTCCATAGCAGACCCAAGTCCTTGTAAAAGCAGGCATTCAGGCATTCCGGAGATATCAAAGCTTACCAGGGATAGCTAGCTCGGTACCAAGGACAGCACAGTAGAGAATGCTAAACAAAGTACCTCCCTGTACCCAAAGCTCCCGTGCTGTAAGCCCCCACTGATGTAACTCTTTTTTCCTGCTGATGTAGCCCTTTTTTCCTTTAAAAACTCTCCCAAACAAAGACTGGGGCTTCACTCCTTCCTCCGCTGTGTCGGTTGGTTGGATGGGGTCCCTGTCACGGCTTGTACTCCCGAATAAACCTTGCTTTTGCAGTTCAGGGTGATCAACTCTCTGGGGGTCTCTGCGGGGATCTAACGATCTGGGCACAACAGCAGAAGTTTCTGAATTTGATATAATCCCATTTGTCTACTTCTGTTTTCATTGCCTGTACTTCTGGGGTCCTATCCAATAAGCCTACACTATTGTCTTGAATTATCTTCTTTGTTTCCTTCTAATAATTTCATAGTTCCAGATCTTACATTTAGATCTTTGATCCATCTTTAGTTGATTTTTATAGTTGATGAAAGAGACCTTCTATCCACTGGTACACTCCTCCAAATGATCAGGAGCCTGAACTACCTCCATGGCAGAGGTCCAACCACTTGGGCCATCTTCTGCTGCTTTCCCAGGTACATTAGCAGAGACTTGGATCAGAAGTGGAGTATCCGTCACTTGAACCAGTGCTCATATGGGTTGCTAGACAATGGCTTAACCTGCTCTGCCACAATGCCAGCCTCCTCCTCACCTTCCCAGCCCTGTCCAGCTCCAGGGCTTCTCCATGTCCACCACCTCCTCTTTCTCCTGGGGTGCACCTCCCCTTCCCTTTCCTCACTCCCACCCTGCTGAACACACACACACACACACACACACATCAGATGACAGGAATGGGCTAACGCAGTCCTAGAAGAAGAAGAATCTATTTCTCTCAGGTCAGAAGCCCTTGGGGTGTTTGTTGGTGAAACTGAGTGAAGTGATGAACTCTGCTGGTGCTAGACATCCAGGCTCAGTGGCTGAGGGTCCCCAGGCAGTCCTCAGGCCTGGGCAAAACTGGCTAATCCAAGACGGTTCCATACCTGGGCTGACCAAAATAAACGAGCTCCAGTTCCAAGAAGCTAAAATGCCTAGCAACCTCCAAACCAGAGGGAACACTTTGCAAGCCCAGTGCTATGAGGAAGGATCACAGCACCTCCATGTGGTGATGGCAGCAGAACCGGGGTCCTCTGGCTGGGGCAGGACCCGAGAAAACCAGCCAAGCACTCCTTTTATACAGAGGCGCACCAGGTCCTAACCACTCACGAAGAGATGGCCCCTTCCTGTCTGCCTGGCAGCTTGAGGAACTTCAGTGTCTCAGACTCTGATCCCCCACCCTGGGGATACTGCTGACTCCTGCATTCCAGGGGTCTCTGTGCCTCTCGGTGTTGAATTATCCTCATGCAGTGCATGAAGAGCCGCCACGTCTAGGCAGGCAGGATGTGGAGAGCTGCCAGGTTCAAGGGGAAAACCACATGACATTTTCAGCTTCAATCAAGGACAGAGTCCGGTATTGTGATTTGGATTCTGACTGCTCCTGCCGTGTCCCTGCGTATCACACTACAATAATGTGGCACACCACTCGTGACCTTCAGGGGTGTGGTCAAGAGCAGGTTGTTTGGCTGAAGTAGACCCCAGAGTTCTCTCCTGGACTTGTCCTTCGTGGCAAGGCTTGTGGTTCTCTGTCTCATGCAGGGCAGCAAGAGACACCTCTTCACATTGGGTAGCCTGATCTAACTGCAGGATGATGGCTTAAATCACAGTCACTGATAAAAACCTTTCACACCCTTCAAGAGGTACAGGTCACAGTGTCCCCCAGGACCCTGGAACCGAGCACCTTCTTGCACTGAGCAAAGCTGGGGTGCCTCTTAGGTGCCAGTCCTCAGGGACTCACAGTGAGTGCAAGGTGTGAAGTGCAGTGAAGAAAGGCAGATGAAAGCAGACTTCAGTACACAGGGCCACGTGTCACTGCAGCACCAAGGAATGGGCAAAAAGGGTCTTGCTGAGCCTTCAGAAACTGAGTGTCTTTGTCTCAGCTTCGGGTATCAACCCCCAAATTTGTGCAAAGACAACACTTGATATCTAGCACCTTTGGATTTTGAATGTTTTTTTCCAGTGGAAGCTGGAGGGGTGGGGAAGCATTTTTCAAACCCACAGAAAGAACTGTTGACTCTACAGTATTTCTTGCACTGTAATCAGTGAGTATGTGGTAATTTGGAGAAACTTTGGTGGCTCAAACCCACTGTAGGACATTCCAGTCCTCATCGAGAATCTTTCTTTTTCATTACACACTTCAGAATCACCGTTCACATCCATAGTGTACTATATACCTCAAAAGTCTTCCAACTTCTACCTGTTACTCAGATCTGAAGCTGCTTCCATATTTGTAAGAATTCATCAGACCCTCATGTCTTGGGACCACAATCTGTGGCAGTCAAGACTCTGCAAGGACTTACAGGATATGGACAGCTATCCATCAACATCTGTGAAGGATGGGTTCCGGGACCCCTTGCAGACACCAAAATCAGTGATGCTCAAGTCTTGTACGTAAAATGGTGTAGTTTTTGAATTTTACCTATATATTCCCCCATATGCTTTCAGCCATCATTAGCTTACTTATAATACTTAATATAAATACAATGCAAATGATGTACTGTGTGTAGAATGGTTGCAAGAGGAAAAAGTTTATACATGTTCAGTACAGATGCATTTTTTGAAATGTTTTTAATTAACAGTGGAATCTGCAGATGTGGACCCAGGGATAACCAAGGGCTGACCATATGTAAAAGACAGAAATGTGTCATGTGTTCATGGAGGCTAAGAAGTCCAGGAGCTGCTGGCAGAGAGTGGGAGAGATGGTGTGTGGTTCTAGGTCAAGTCCAAAATGCAGGAAGGGCCAAAATCCATCCCAGTTAGGCAGAAGGACTTTCCTCTATCTGGGAGTGAATCTGCATATGGACTATATCTCACCTCTACCTCTACCTCTTCTCTGTATTCCACCTTTCAAATAAATTAATTTAAAAAAAACTCCCATTGGTGGGCATTGTGGCACACTGGGTTATGCCACCACTTATGACCCTGGCATTCCATATCAGAGTGCCTGGTTCAAGACCCAGATGCTTGCTTCCAGTCCAGCATTCCTGCTAATTATGGGAGGCAGCAGAAGATGGTTCAAGTTCTTGGATCCCTGTCACCTGTGTGAGAGAACCAGAGAGAGTTCCTGGATGCAGAACTTCAGCTTGGTCCAGCCCTGGCTTGCAGGCATTTAAGAAGTGAATCATACATAGAAGGCTCTCTCTCTCACTTCTTCCTTCCCTGTTTCCCCCACCCCACCCCTGCCCTGTCTGCCTCCCCTCATCTTTGCCTTTAAAAAGATAAATAAATCTTTAAAAGATTGATAAACCCAATATTAGATGTTTGACAAGTTACTTATAATGGATTATAACATTGAAATTTAAAATTCCAAGTAATAGAGAAAAAATTAATTGATAGATATTAAAACCAAATTTGGTATAAATTACATTTTGGTCAAGAATTTAACTTTTTAACTACAAAATGCCAACATCCACAAATATTCAAAAGAATTGGATTAGAAATCAGTGTATAACATGAATATAATAATTGGTATAAGCAGGGATGGTTAATGCATGGTAAAATTTTAAGCCCATCACAAACAGTATATTTTTACATTCTCAAATTATTATTCTTTAAAGTTCGTTTTTCAACTCTGAAATTTTATTTTCTGACATTTTTCATGTTTACAAAACAAAACTAAAAGCAGATATCAAAGGCTTTGTGGAGGGGCCAACACTGTGGCATGGCAAATAAGGCCACCCCCTGCAGTGCCAGCATCCCATAGGGTACCAGTTCAAGTTCCGGTTGCTCCACTTCCAATCCAGCTCTCTGCAATGGCCTGGGAAAGCAATGTAAGATGGCCCAAGTCCTTGGGCCCCTGCACCTGCGTGGGAGACCCAGAAGAAGCTCCTGGCTCCTGACTTTGGATCAGACCATTGCAGCCATTTAGGGAGTGAACTAGCAGATGGAAGACCTCTCTATATATATCTCTGTCTGTAACTCTGCCTTTCAAATAAATAAAATAAATCTTTAAAAAAAAAAGACTCTGGAATTTCTGGACCAATTTTCATCTAAGTCGGTGATGATGAAACAATAGGAAAGGTAGAAAATAACTAGACACAGGATGATTTCACTCTTGGTCATGTATGACTAGGTGGATTATTTTGGAGCTACTAAATAACTTTTTATAAGCACTGGCCATTTTGAGAACCAATTTGGTTTGTCCAACAAAGTAAACAAATTTTGTTTTGCTCTGTGGCTTTTTTTTAAAGATCTATTTATTTATTTGAAAGGTAGAGTTACAGAGAAAGGGAGAAGGAGAGAGAGAGAGAGAGAGAGAGCGAGCATCCATCCGCTGGTTCATTCCTCAAATGGCCACAACAGCCAGAGCTGGGCCAGTCTGAAGCCGGGAGCCAGGAGCTTCTTCTGGGTCTCCCATGCTAGTGCAAGGGCCCAAGCACTTGACTCATTTTCCACTGCTTTCCCAGGTGCATCAGCAGGGAGTTGGATCAGAAGTGGAGCAGCTGGGACTCGAACTGGCACCCATAGGGGATACCAGAGCTGAAAGTAAAGAGAAGATCATTTCATTCAGAGGCTGCCAAGAATCTCCATGATGTTACAGTTTCTGCATCCTCCCTGATTGAGTTTTCTCAGAGACCTATTACTGGAACAAAAGTTGATGTTCTTGCCACACAGGCTCTGATACTTTATAGGTAGGTTTATACTGAGCAAGACTCCTTATTCTGGTGCCCAGGAAGAAGCTGAGCAGCCACGATTCTTGATTCTTGGAAGCAGAGAAGCTGAGTGCACTGACACAGCCATGAGCAGAGCAGCAGCCTCGAGTCTGCAGTCTGGTCAAGGTGCGCCCCCACCACGTGCCCGTAATCACCGTTCGCCTAAATAAGGGAAGTGTGATCCAGGTTTGCAATGTTAGTAGCTATCATCTCAAATTTATTATGAAGATAACTTCCTGATGAGCTATGAACTAGGAAACTGGCCTCAAATTCTGATCACATCCTCCAGTGTTAGTGTAAAAATAATATAAAACAAAATCTTGCCAATTAGGGGTTAAAAGTACACAATGAAACCTGAACGTGATCCACGTACAGGCTGGCGATCACATCACTGAAAGGGCGCTGAGAGGAGGCAACCCTTGTCCTGAAACAAAACTCCCTCCCTATTTTCTGAATTTTCATGAAAGGAAAACTGGTGGATAATTTTCTTCTTTACAGATATGAAAAAGGAAGCAAGAAAGCTAAGGGAGACAAACGGGTGCTACCACAGCAGTGGCATTTGGTGGTTTTGTTCTTTGTACCAGCAACACCTACGACAGCAACAGGCATGCAACTACTGCAGAGGGCACAGCTTTCCTTGCCCTGGACACAGGAACGAGAAAGCCTACCCCTCCAGCAGCCAGAGCCCTCTCCTGCCCCTGCAGTAACCCCCCCTCTGCTGCTCTGGGTTCTGGGCGCCTTGAAAATGTCCTGCAGAGCACCACCACCACCACCACCAACGCCGCCCCATTCTCCCCAGAGACTTGGCAGCCCGTGCAGTATCCTTAGCTGTGCAGAGCTGAGCGCCTTGGTGACAGGGCTACCGACAAGACCCCCCTGCCTGGCTCTGGTGTTTCGGGGATGTTCAGGGCCGCCTGGAGAGCAGCTGTCCTGTGTCCTGTCCTCAGGCAGGAGTGCACCTCGCCTGCTCTCCTGGAGCCCCGCCCGGCCGTCACTGCTGTCCTCCTCATCCATCAACTTGATCTCATCCTACCCATCCACACCCACCTCCCAGAACTGCTCCCACCAAACCCTGTTTTTCCATATCCCCACCTCAGGCCAGGACTCGGCCTCCTGGGGAGCAGCCAGGAACTCAGGGAGAGCCACTGCCCACTCACTTCCCGCTTCAGCTCTGGGGCACCACCTGCTCCGGAGTTCTTAATAATCAGAGAGAACAACGCGCCTCCACAATGGACAGATCCAGCAGGCAGCTCATCTACAGCTGACCCACCCTAAAGCCAGGGCGACTGGCAGGCACACAGGACGTCCTTGGCCTGCAGAGGGCACGCGGCAGGAAGCACCCAGCAGGCCCTGCGTGGCTCAGTGGAGCAGCTGAACTTCATCCTGAGGCAATCACCAGGTAACTTCAGCACACAGGCCACTGAGCCAGACCCCGCCCAGCATCCGCAGACCAGTCAGCATGCACCACCCCCCAGACCACAAAACATGAGATGTTTGCAGCTCAAAAGCAGCAAAGAAGCAGATCCTTTTAATCACCTTTACCCCAAATGTCTCTCCTTCTCAATGTTGTCTTATCTGTGGGAACACTGACCGTGGGAGGAGACGGGTCAGCTGTCCGGCTCAGTGGAGCGCCCGTGCAGGAGTCAGATCATCCCGAGGGTTACACCGAGGCTGACCCTCATCAGCAGGAGCGCTAGTGGCAGACCGCCCACACCTAGCACAGCCCGCCCGTGGCCTCGGGCGTCTGGGTTCATCCGCGGTCTCTTCCTGCTCCTCAGTCCCCGGGTCTCTGCAGGAGGCAGGTGACAGGGCAAGGTGAGAGTCTCTCTGTAATGTCTCTGCATTCAGGCCTTGGTCTCTGTGGGTGTTTACCCAGTCAGAGGCTGAAAGACAGTCACAGCTCTCATCCCCCAGCCTCCCGTGGTGGAAACCATCAAGAGTGGTTCATGGTGGTCAAAGTCCTCTCTCCGTGCTCTGTCTGGGATTTACCCCGAGCTGCGGTTTGAGCTACTTTTTCTTACATAAATCGGCGCTATCTTTCTACGCTTCCAGCAGCAGTGGCACCTAAGAGAGGGAGAGAAGAAAATGAATGGGTCAGGTCCTGCTGAGAGCTGATGCAGCCAATGCTCCAAGGTTACAGAGCCCAGAGAGAGACTGAGCTCCTGCAGAGAGGAAGGGCTGATGAAAGGCACAACTGACCTGACCTGAGCTGACAGCCCAGCCTGTGGGGCAGAGTTAGGGCCCTCGGCCTTCCCAAACCAGGGTGGGTGCTCTCACCCAAGTTCTCCTGACCCCTTTGGCCTTTCGCACCTGCTTGTGATGGTCTTAGCTTCCATCTAGCTGACTTTGCTACAGGAAGGAGGGGACTCCACACAGAGACAGTTCTGTCATAGTTCTATGGCTCCATAGTCCTTCTAACCCCAGGTGCTTGTCAGAGGAATTCTTTTAAAGGGCCAATGCCTGAATCCCACCTTTCCAATGTAAATCATACTTTTTAGTGCTGGTCAGAGTCCCTGCTGACTCAGAGCTCACCCAGTGTTAACTCTGAGACTGCTCAGTTGACCTGCCCTATGTCCCACCATACCTGTTGCATTCCCCCTCTCTCCTAGCATGCGTCTCCTTCCCCCTGGCCTTGAAGAATCAGTCTTCTCTCTGACATTGTCATGTAATCACTCCCTTTCTTGAAACTCTACTAGGTTCCTTGATTCTGATTCAACTGAGTCCATTATTCTAGATTCTTCACTGAACATACAGAAGTGCTCTTAGGACTTAAATATGGAGGCCAGAATTGCTCAGCACACAATGCCCTGTGCCCTTTGAAATCTTGGCCTCTCTGTGTACGTGGAGCTGACTTCCCTTTAGAGTGCCACCTGGTCCTCCCGATCCTACTCCTACTCCTCCTACACCAGCTCAAATGAGCCCATGAGGTGCAGGTGCTGAGTCAAGTGAAGCCCCTGGCAGTTTAGCACAGGTGTACATTTCTGGGAAGAAAAAACTACTCCAGACCAATAGAGATCTCTCCCCTGTGGCCCACGTTCCAGTTCATTTTTGGAATCAGAGTTTTCCTCCTCAGTTTTAGCACTTCCAATTCACATGTGGAAATAAAGGGTGTAGGATTGCATGAGGCTCTCAGAAGGACACTGGAGAAGATTCATGTCCAAATGACTTATGAAGACAGGGCTCCCAGAAGAAGCAGGCATCGGATGGATTGGGGAAGCAGGAAATGGGAAACAAGGAAGCCAAGAAAGGTGTGTGTGCTTTCAGGCAAGCTCCCAGAAATCACACCAAGGATATGGGGCTGGGTTTGCTGTGGACTGATAAAGAAGATGGGGTGGCAGCAGGGAGAGCCCAGCAGTGCTGAGAGTGCAAACAGGTGACAGACAGGACAGGGTGGTGGCTGCGGGCAGTGGAGGTAACACCTGATAGAGGTCCCATCCACCATGGGAGAGAAGAAGCCTGGTGACAGAATAAGCTAGAAGGCCAAGTAGGGAGTAATAAGGAACAAAGGCAGCAAAGATGAACAGACGTGACTACCTCTCCATCCTAGCCTTGAAGGCTGCAGTATCCGCATGAGATCCCCCTGGGGCTAGACTGCAGTATTCTTGATATTCTGTTGGCCATGGAATCTGCATGCCAGTTCCCATGTGCTGAGCTCTGGCTTTGTCTCGTTAACCTGCTGACCAGAGAATCTGCATGCGAGTTTCTACTTGCTGGAGTGTGGTTTTCCTTTCATGATACTCATGCCAGGGAATTTGCATGCGAGTTTCCCCCTGCTGCCCTGCGGTTTTCCTTTGGTAAACTGTGCTTCAGGGCACTTGGGACTTCGAAGTGGCCGGACATGAGGTTTCCCCTTATCCATGGCCGGAACTTCGGGGCACTCCCTGTAGCTGGGGAGGGTTCCTCATCCCTCGAGGAGCATGCAGACTCAGCGCTGATAACAGAAGGACAGTCAGCAGTATCCGCTCGTGTCCACACTCTCTCTGTGATCTTCTTTCCCACTAGTGTGGACCCATGCCTACTGTTTGGTCTTTGTACCAGCAACTCCTACATCATGAACATACAAAAGTGCTCTTAGGACTGAAATATGGAGGCCAGAATTGCTCAGCACATAATGTCCTGTGCCCTTGGAAATCTTGGCCTCTCTGTCTACTTGGAACTCAATTTCTTTCTATAGTGCTACCAAGTCCTCCAGGTAACCTCAGCTTGAATGAGCCCATGAGGTGCAGATGCTGAGGCAGCAGAAACCCTTTGCAGTTTAGCACAGGTGTATATTTCTTGGGAGGAAGAAAAAAAACTACTCCAGGCCAATAGAAATCTCGCACCTGTGATCCAGTGCAGGGTCTTAGTCCACCCGAACGAGGATGGACTGGGTCTGAGGAAAGGTAAATGCGCTGCTCGCCTGTTCCCCAGCCTCACTTTTTCCCAGAGACAATCAGACGTCTTGGGGAGTTGAGTCAAGCAGGAACTTGTTTATTATTGTGCTGTAAGCCTCTCTTAAAGCAAAAAATCACAGAGGTATAGGAGAGGGGAAGAGAAGCCAGCCAGTTGTTTTAAAGATTACCCTATCATGCACTCGGTTTCTATAGGGTCCAAGCACTAACGTCATCTCTCCTGATGCCTGTGCCCAATCAAGTTTTCTTGTAAACAACCCAGACTCCACTCATCTAACTTCCTCTTGGCACCACCTTTGCCACCCTCATGCCCCGCAATCCAGGTCCCAGTTCACTTTTTTACATCAGAGCTCTCTCTCAGTTTTAGCACTTCCAATTCACGTGTGGAAGAGCGTAGGACTGGCTTAGTCACACTCCCCAACAGTAGACCCAAGGAGATCCATGTGCAAGTGATTTACGAAAGGTATACTCACAAGGAAGAAGTGGGTTTGCAGAAGCAGGGAAGGGGATGCAAGAAAGCCTACAATGTGTGTGCTTCTAGGCAAATTTCCATGTGTTTAGCAGCGGAAGGATGACCTTTAGATCCTATGAAGACTGTGGAGCTGGGTTTTGATGTGGCTATGATAAGGAAGACTGGGACACGTGCAGTGGGAGTAGAGCAAAGCTCAGACTGCAAACAGGTGATGGACGTGGAAACACCTGGCCTGTGGGAACCAAGACCAGAGGTTACACAGCTGCTGGCCTGTGGGAGAATGTTTTATGGTCTCATGTAGAGAATACTAGGGAACAAGTGTATCTAAGAGGAAGGCATGATTACTTCTGTATCGTAGGGTTGAAGGCCAGGGAAACCTGCATGCTAGTTTCCATTTGCTGTACTGCAGTTTTCCAGTGCTGGGGCGTGGGTTTCCTTTGATAATCTCCTCACTAGGGAGTCTGCCTGGCTGTTACCACTGGCTGGACTGTGGTTTTCCTTTGATAATCTTCTGTTTCTGGGCACCTGGGACATTGATGTGGCCGATTACTTGATGCTCGTGTATGTTGGTGGCTGACTCTTCACAAGCATTGTCCTCCAGCTAGGTAGGGTTCTTCATTACATGGTGACAATCAAACCTAGCTCTAAAAATGAAACCACAACCATCAGGATCAATATTTATACCTAATATCTCTATGACGTCCTGTCCAAATAAGGAAAGTGACCTGGAGTAAGAAAGTCCAAAGAATAAGATGACGTCTACAGGGATACTAAGATATTTTCATTTTGGTTGATTTTTATACATATTATATAATGATAAATGTATAAAAATCAAACAACTGAAGGGAAAAGAACTGAAGAAGATTAACACTGTAGATTACCAAGTCTTTCATAAGCACAGATATATTTCATATATACATAATACACACTATATTTAATATATACCAAGTACATATGTTGTATGTGACATGGTTTAACTGCATGTGTTCATGTATTTATCTAATTGAAGCAGTTACTACTTTGGGAATTGGAGGATGTTATATAAAATGTTATCATCATTCTTCTGGTCAGCTGGAGTGGGAGCAGTTTTTCAGGCACCTGAAGAATGAGAGAGAGAAGCCGTCGTGAGAAACAAATGTGCTACCAGATGCCAGGGAGAAATTCCAGGGTAGAGCTGGAGAATGAATGATGAGCTATGAAAGCACCCTGGTCTGCAAAACCTCACTGGGAGCCTGGCTTCATGCTCAGGCCTCCTTGGAGTGAGCAGGGGCAGCATTCTGGGCCAGGGCAGCTAGGACTGTGGGAGTCCAAGGAGAAGGAGAGGAGACCAGGGGAGGAGAGAGGACTGAACACCACAGGTTATCACGACTGTGTCAGGGGCCTTGCACCCCCGTACCCCAATGTTAACTTTCCAGGACACCTATTCAAGGTGCTGGGTGGTGCTTATTACCTGCTAGGACCCCCGCCTCTTCCTGAGAACACGGGTCTCCTCATTTCTCAGAGGAGAGCATTGCCTGACACGAGCCCCAGCCAGCCCCAGGAACTCCAGGAGGAGAAACTGAGAGTGGTGGAGAAAAGGATGAATGAACCCAGCTGGAACGGTTGGGATTCTGCCGATCTGAGCAGAGCCAGATCTCTATGGGGAAGGAACACAGGACAGGGCCATGGAGATGAGTATCACTCATGAATCCCATGAAGAGCCACAAGACAGCTAGTTCGTGGGACGACTGCCCCTTATTTCACAACAGTGGGAGCTGTGGGCCCAGGTTGTGCACATTCCTGAACGTGCCTGCAACAGTGCCCATGAAGGTTCCTAATGATGGCACTGGCCTACGAGGGATGTCTAAGGACAGGAAGCAGCAAATCAGATCTTCTGCATGAGCGAAGGAAGACAGCTCCCTAAAACTCAGAGATCTTAAAAGTTGTTCTGCATCAGATGAAATATATCATATGAAGTCACTTTCTAAGGGTAACTCACCGGAACAAGCAAAGGATCAGAAAACGGATATTCAGAATTGTTTATTGAACAATTTATGACTGGATTGGGTACTCTGGAAATGATCATAATGAATGCTCTGGACAGCGATTAGATGCATGCAGATTTTCTTTTTCTAGTCTCCCAGAGGAAGGAATTCATATGTAAATACATAAGAAGAAAAAATACCGTGGCTATGGTAAACAGCCAAGAGATGGTAAACTCAGAATCTGTCACCATGGCTCTGGTTCCACTTTTTTGGCAGTGGCACCAGAGTGTCATGGTAATATCCAGGAAAAGAAAGACAGTAAAAGTTGGAATCACAAACTGGATTCATGATTTGAATACAATCAGAATTTCTCTATGGTTCCATTCCATGTCAGTGACATCTCTCAGTGCAGTTTGGGGTGAGGAGTGCAAGGATGTTTCTGGATACTTAGGACACCCTTGGGAGCTTTGTCACCTTCACACTGTGTACTCACTGTCTACATCGCCTTCCAGGGAACACTGCTGTTCCTTCATTGAATAAGCAGCTGGTATATGGTTGGTAGGCATCAGACAGCCCAGGACAGACTGTATGCAATAAGCACACACCAGGGGGTGCTGTGAGACTTCAGGCTCTTCCACTGGAGGAAGCTCCCTGATGAGCCAAGGTGGATCAGATGCCACAGTGACCTAGGAAGATTTGACAGTATATTTGAATGTGGTTTAAAGAAAAGGCAAGGATGCATTTTAAGAAATAGTATGTTCTTTTGTATAGAACACAGGGTGGCTGCCATGGTGATAGAAAGTTAGACTGGAGTGTTGTGGAGGGGAGGAAAGATACAGACAGAGAGGATTAGGTGCTCAATACATTTGCCTGATTTTCTCTCTGCTTTTAAACACAGACATTGAGCATGTAATCTAGAGCAGTCAAGCTTTATGACAGATTATGTCGGATGGTGGCTTTTCCTCTATTCCTCAAATTACATTGAATCTTTCATGTAGTGATCAATTAAATATATTTTAGGCCTTATATAGCCCTAGATACCTATTAAGACCTTTTTCTCTCAAGATGATGACATGTCATAATACTGGTTTTTGTCTACCTAATTTTCTTGCTGTGAGTTCCTTGTCTACATGTTAATACCAAACAGGCAACAAACTCCTCACTGTAGTTTATAAGCTATAGGTACAGTGCAGATGTTTCCTGTAGATCTCTAAGACCATTTCTGTTCTAAATGGTCAACTGAGACTTTAATGCAGAATAGGAAAATATACAAGTACCCCAATGAAAACAGCAAAGTCTTTAAAAGGGTACTCTGTGTTTTGCTGACTGGATGAAATAGGTAGATTTATCACTTTCTGATTTCCTTGGATATGAGCTCTACAGATGCTGCCAGTGAGTTAACAGCCCGTGATTTGACCACATTACCTGGGGCAAGTTGGTCTTGTCCTTTCCCTTCTTCAGGATCACTTTGATTCTCCACAAATATATAAAAGAAGGCCAATGACATAGCCTCTATCCCACTTCACATTTGCCCAGTCCTGTGTCTAAGCCTTGCACAGGGGCATGAGCCTATTCAGTGTAATAAAGGATGTGTGAGAAACTCCCCCAAGCTTCAGGCTGACACTTGTTAGAAGTCACTGGATTTCCTGGCCTGTGCCATGGGGCAAATGACCCTGATAGGACAGATGATCATCACCATGTCCTCTGTCCTGAGTCTGAGCAAACAGATCTCACTCACCAAGGCCTTTGGGAATTGATTTCTAGGAGTGTTGCTGCAATACTGACTTTCCCATCTGATATCGTATTTAATCATGGTAGAGGAATTGAACCGCAAGACTGGATGAATTCTGTAACCCCTTTCATAAATCAGTCTATGCTGTTAGAAATAAACATTGGGCATTCATTATGTGGGGAAGTTACAGGGCCCATCCATAATTCTTGGAAACATAGAAGGAAGAAAAATATAGAAGTATTTATGTCTTGGTTTTGAAATGATGGCTTAGCTAAGACAAGCCACCTTAGAGGAGATAAAGAGTCAGGTTGAAAGCAATGAAACCAGGCTCATAACATGGCTAACACAGAGGGAAGGTTGCCAAAAGCTTTGAACTGGCATAGAACTCCAGGTACACTGTTTTAGAACAAAAATTATGTCATTGCAGGTGACAAGAGACATTGTTTCTGAGCTAGAAAGTCTGAAAGGCACTTCCCATACAGGTCCAACAAAGTGTATATGAGTTTGTCGGGGTCCAGTGAGAAAAGGCAGTATGTGAAGAGCAGAGAGAAGCTCCTGGACTCACCTGATGTCTGTTTAATGTCCCCACCTGGTCCCTGATTCACAAGAATGTGTGTATTCAGCGCCTGTGCTCAGAGGTGAGCCTCATCAGCCCAGACAGAGGAATGTGAGGCTGCCTGGGAGTGTGTGTACACTCCTTCTTGTGGGAATCAGAATGTTCACTGTCTACATCCAGAACAGCGTGGGCTTCCTCTTCATTGAGTGCACATTCCATGCTACTCTCAGGCTGGTAGCAGTCATTTGGGGGTGATCCATGGCACGAGTGAAAGAACTTTGCTCCAGTGAATTCTCTGGGATGTCCTTTTCCTCTGCTTCTAGCAGCTCCCTGAGAGCCAGGTGGGATAGGGATGACAGAAATTAAACCAAGAAAGAGTCCTGCTGGGTTTGATGGGCTGCATAAGGGTGTGGTCATAGATAGCACAGGGCAGTCCCCTCTAAGAGGGAACAAGCAGTCCTCTCTGGAACACAGTGTGGCTACCATAGGAGGAGAGGATGCCAGAGAGAAAGAGAGCAGCGGGTGCTCATTGCACTGGACAGCAGCTGCTGGGGAGCAGCTGCGTGGTAGTCCCATGGCATGAGCACACGTGGACGGCCGCCCCACTGACACCGTGTGCTGAGCTTAAGTTGAGCGTAGCGTACTGCAGCCCTGGGAGTAAAGTTCTAGAGACCTTGCAGATGTGGTGCCTCTGGGCCCTCTCTTAATACTGTGACATAAAACAAAACACATGCAACCAGAAACCATTATGCTTATGGAAATAAGCCAGTCCCAAAAGAACAAATGTCATACGTTTTCTCTGATATGTGGTAGTTGATATAGAAAACAAAACAACAACAACAACAACAACAAAAATGCATAGGGATGAAATAGACATCTTGTGATCTGATTGTTGTTTTTGACCCTTGTTAATACTCCTGTGGAACTATGGTCTTTCTACTTTTTACTTGTTGAATATTATGGCTAATGATAAATTAAGCCTGTGATTATGGAGTGGATTGAAGTCATGTTTTTGCCAAAATTTAAGAAAAACAAGGAATTGACAGAGGGAAAGATGAAGGGAGGGAAGTATGGTTCTCTTCTTAGAATTGTACCCATGAAATACATTAAGTCTGTTCTCTTATGTTAATAAAAATGTTTTTAAAATGTGACGTGAGACATAAACATGCTTTTGTCTAGGTGCTTCTTTTTTGAAGTTGCAACTTAGCCAGATACTCCCTAACTGCTCCCTTTGCCTGCTCCCTCTTTGCTGGTTATGCTCGCTAACAAGGACCTAAAGAGAACTGTGTAGGAAGCAGATACGCATCTTCCTCTGGTTTGCATTACAGGAGAGAACAGGGGTTCTCTTTTTGTGAAGGAAATACTCAAGGCTGGTGAGTTGATTTTGGCTCAGATTAACAAATAGGACAAAGACAACAGACAGCTGTTTTAGCAGAGCTATTTCAGGTTCCGAGCAAATTACATCAGCACAATCTGCAGTTTTGTTTATGCTTTGCATCTGAAATCTGTGGCTGCCTTGGTCCCCTTTCTGTTCTTTTTGAGATCCTTTTCCTTATTTACCTGTTCATTCCCAATGCTTAATCATTCACTGTTACCTGTCGGCAGCAGTTTCTTATTCTCGTTTTTCCTCATTTTCATTATTTCTGGAAATTCAGAAATGTCCACTCACTCACAACAAACCCAGTGATCTATATGTACAGAGACACGAACATCTGTGTAGGGTCAGCATTACACCAAAGTTTCCCATTTGCTGTCTTTAAACAAATGCCTTGCCATGCTTTTCTGATCCATCAGCACTGTGTCTCTGATCAGGGAGATGACAATCATGGCAGGGTCAGCCTGCAACAAGGCAAAATCCTCATATCACTGGTAGTTTATCAAAGCTTCCCATGGACTTCTGTGTCTGCATCCCCCGCCCCCGCCGGTGTGATCCCCATGCACAGGTTCTATATTCCCACGGCCTCACAGATAATCTGCTCCTTTTGAGATAGGCAGGCAGATAGAATAAAACCTATTAGGTCTATAAGCTGGAGACCATACCCTCCACCATGCCCACTGTGTGATCTCACGCCCCTACTTGATCTCACCTGCCCATCAGACTATGCAACCACTCCCCCCTTGGAAAGCATATAAAAGGCGAAGAGTGCCCCCAAATCACTCTACCTTTGCCTCACTACCCATGCTAAGCTACTTGTGGCTGCTCATAACCAAATTCTTCTGTACATGGCTCCTGACCTGTTCTCTGCTTTGTATGGATCCCAACTTAGTCTCTAGACTTTTCTTTCTCCATTAGATAAATCCCTCATTCTCCTATGCATTTCTTTCACTGAATAAAATCCTTAAAAACTTACCATGTTGGCTATTTGAGCCAGTATTCAGAATTCTCTGAATACATGGCAAGAAGCCACACAGCTTATTAATTTGGGGAAATATTAATAAGCAGGTCGGTTTCACTTTCATTAAGATGATAGACAATGATGACTCTCATCCCTCCATATATACACAGGCCCTTCAAGTTGGCTTCGTTTATGTTATCAAAAGAAATTCTTTCCCTAGAAAGGGGTCTAAGCAACTTTCCTAACACAAGTTCTGCTCATTCCAGTACCTGATGTGACACCACCCAGTGAGGGGAGTGACTTGATCCTATTATGAAACACACAAGTGACAGCTCCCACATATCACTGCCATATCCACTATGCAACTGTAGAATCAGAATCAAAATGGAGTGAGTGTGGCTAAAAGCTAATTGCAGACCTCTTGCTTCTGTACATATCAGCTTTGCTTGCTAACAGCTAAGGGTGTATCTTGTGAAACTACGTGGGCCCAAATTCCCAGGAACTAGGTTGACCGAAATGTGTCCTTCACTGTTATCTTACAACCATATCTTGGATCTGTTATTGGGTTTGTTATTGTTAACTGTTGTCTTACAACAATATTCTGGTTTTCTTTTTATTGTTCATTGCATACCAGGGGTCCGGTTCAAAATTGTGAGCCCTAGTGGACAGAATACTATAACAAGCCGTGTAACCTGCTGTTGGGGGCCACACCCTGGTAAGGAGTGTTGGTCCCGATCGATTGCTGATCCTGATCAGTTGCTTTGCCTGTCATTTGCCTCTCATTTTCAATAAAATTCATGTGTGACTGTCACTGGTTTTTGTAGTACTCTATTTCAGCTGACTAGTGGGTGCAACACAGCAGATTATTTGATCCATTTTACAGATGAGGAGACAAAAATCCAGGAAGGACAAAGGAATCATCTACAGTTTGTAAAACCATGCTGAGCATATAACTAGAGGATTCTGTTCATTGTATTGGATCTTGTTGTAATTGTAGGTGGAGGCACAGCGCCCAGGGCTGGCCAGGTCCCACCGAGGCGCGGAGAAGCGGGTGACCGCAAGGGCCAGGGGCGGCAGCAGCCGGGGGGCGCACTCCTCTACGCGTCTTTGTCTTTGCAGCGCCTCAGGATTCTGTTCTTTGCCCAGGGACTCTTTTCAGTTTGACAGTTGTCTCCTGTCTCAACCTCCTTCTGTCCTTTATAACTGGATGGATATTGCCTCCTGCTCCAAAAGCAAGTGGCAATCATGGAGGAAGTAGACATTTAGAATACTGGGACCCTGAAAAACCTGTGTTTCCCATCTCTGTTCTTATCCAGGCAGTCCTGATCGTGTCATAACACAAATGTTCAATGCCAAGAAAGACTGCTGGCAAAATGCCCTTTGCAGATATATGGAGGCTCCTGTAAACTTGAGACTTTGTCTAATCACAGCTGGTGCCCACCTTACCTGGGCCACGCTTGCTGACAAGGCACCCTGCAGCCTGACAGCCTCAGTAGTAGTATTTGCAATCTCTGCCCCTTGCAGCTGTCAGGCTCATGCAGGGTGACACATCCTTGAGATACTCATGGAGGCTGTAAGAACTCTCTCTCCCATCTTGTAACTTCTGATGTAACTGGGACAGCTCTTGGTCCTGATTGTGAATTATGACATTGCAAGTCCTAAAAGGGGATAGTAGAGAAAATTCTAGAGCAGAAAGAGATTGGTGATAAGTTTCTGTGTTTCAACAGATTTTCATGATCATGGACTCACAAAGCCCACCCACCAGCATCACCACATGTTTGGGGAAATGCCTGTGGCAAAGACAAGAAAAAGACAAAACAAGGGCTTCCTCTGTGTATAGAGCCATCTTTTAAGAATCCCTGATCTGCAATTCATCCTGTTTTCTGTAAACAGTGCAGGGATTCTTCCTTCCTCTCCTTCAAAAAGATTCTCCTTCAGTTCCTCCTTCCAGACAGACATTTCCACACCAACATATGCACAGTGCACTGTGCAGTGACTGGACACAATGGCATACACAGGGTTAATTGGAAAGAAGGAAGAATCAAGGCCTGATATGCCCAATCTAAGACACCAGCCTTAGTCAGGAGGTGATGGTGATCAAGAGTGAATGAGAGGGCCGGCTCCATGGTGCAGTGGGTTAATCCTCAGCCTGCGGCAGCAGCATCCCAAAAAGGCACTGGTTCTAGTCCTGGCTGCCCCTCTTCTGATCCAGCTCTCTGCTGTGGCCTGGGAAAGCAGTAGAAGATGGCCCAAGTCCTTGGGCCCCTGCACCCACCCGCATGAGAGGCCAGGAAGAAGCATCTGGCTCCTGGCTTCGGATTGGCGCAGCTCCAGCCATTGCAGCTGTCTGAGGAGTGAACCAATGGAAGGAAGACCTTTCTCTCTGTCTCTCCCTCTCACTGTCTATAACTCCACCTGTCAAATAAATAAATAAAATAATAAAATCTTTTTTAAAAAAGTGAATGAGGATTGGCTTCAAGATGACCAAATAGAGAAATCCAGCATCACCTTCTCCTCCACTGAGAAGAAGCAAAGCAACTATGACTCGAGGTGAGTGCCCAAGGAAAAGCACCTGAATGCAGGAAGGGAACACTGGGAACATGGTAAGAACACAGAGCAGGCACAGCAGCAGCAGGGAGAGAGAAAGAACAAAGCCAATTGGCAATTAGATCCCCAGACACACAGCCAAGGGGACTCCCTAAACAGGGCTGGGGTGAACAGGGGAGCCCATCTACATGAACACTTTACATTAGCAATCCTCATTGGAGAGGAATCCACTCACTTTCAAAAGTGCAATACAAACAGAATTCTAGAATTTACCAAAAATAGGAAAAAAGTGCCAGGTCACTTTTAAAGGAACTCCATTAGATTAAGAACAGATGGAAACATTATGGATCAGGAGAGAATGGGGTTAAAGTGTCCAACTTCTACAAGAACAAAACAGTCACTTAAGAATATTTCATCAAGCAATGCTATTTCATAAACGGAGGAAAAATAAAGGCTTTACAAGAAAAGCAGACTGAAGGAATTCACCACCACTCATCTGACTTACAAATGGTAATTTAAGATGTACTATGGGCCGGCGCCATGGCTCACTAGGCTAATCCTCTGCCTTGCGGCGCCGGCACAACGGGTTCTAGTCCCGGTCGGGGCACCGGATTCTGTCCCGGTTGCCCCTCTTCCAGGCCAGCTCTCTGCTGTGGCCAGGGAGTGCAGTGGAGGATGGCCCAAGTGCTTGGGCCCTGCACCCCATGGGAGACCAGGAGAAGTACCTGGCTCCTGCCATCGGATCAGCGCGGTGCGCCGGCCATGGCGGCCATTGGAGGGTGAACCAACGGCAAAAAAAGGAAGACCTTTCTCTCTGTCTCTCACTGTCCACTCTGCCTGTCAAAATAATAATAATAATAATAATAACCTTGAATATAAATGAGTTAAATTCCTGAATCAAAATATGCAGATTAGATGAATGAATAAACAAAAAAGACACAACAGTATGCAGAGAAGACTCAAGTCAATAAAAATCAAAGTTGACAAAGCAGATATATCCAATACCATGGAAATACAAAGAATGATTAGGAGCTTTTTGAACAGCTATGTGCCAACAGATTGAAAAATATAGAAGAAATGGATAAATTTCCGGAAACATAATTTACCAAAATTGATTCATGAAGACATTGAAAAAAAAAAACAAAAAGACCAATAAGATTGAATCAGTAAGAGAGTTTCTCAGTAATCAAAATCCTAGGTGGCTTAACTGCTGAATTCTACCAAAATTGTCAGGAAGAACAAATGCCAATTATTCTTAAACTGTTCCAAACAACCAGAAAGAAGGGAAGCTGTCCAAACTCATTCTATGAGGGTAGAATTATCTTAATTTCAAAACCAGACAAAGATAGAACAAAAAAGAAAATTATAGACCGATATCCCCATATATAATCTATACACCACCCCCAAAAATAAATAAAATGCTGATGAAGTTGTGAAGACAGGGAATTCTAATGCACTGTTGGTAGAAGTACAGCAAATTTACTACAGCAATTATGGAAAACAGTATGGAATTCCACAAAAAACTAAAAATCTGTCTGCCACATGAACCAGCCATCTCATTTCCAGAAATACATGCAAAAGAAATGCAGTCAGCATATGAAAGCTATACTTGTGCCTCCATGTTTATTGCAGCCCAATTCACAACAGGAAAGATATGGAGTCAATCTATCCATCAGTGGATAAATGGATAAAGAAAAATCAGATATATAAACAAATACACACACACTGGAGTAGTACTCATCTATAAAAATGCTGTGTGTCTCTATAAATGTCGCTCCCCCTCTTCGTGGAGGAACGACACAGGACCCTGCCTAGGCTTCATATCCGAGTCACGGCACCATTATGTCGCTCCCCCTCTTCGTGGAGGAACGACACAGGACCCTGCACTGTTCTTTCGTCTGCTCGGCCCTCCCCGGGTTTGCTGCTGGTTCTTCCCAGGTTGGCTACTATCACTTCCACCTCCGTGGAAGGGCAGTTCCCCCTGGCCACATCCCCACTTCCGCAGGGGAGCGGCACACCGCCGGCCGGCTTTCTCGGGGGCTGCACGGGTTCCCTTAGATGTTCCCCATAGATGTTCCCCGTGCATGCCGTCTCTCTCCTCCTTTATAGTCCTCCTCCGCCAATCCCAACTCGGCTGCCCACACGCCGAGTACGCTGCTCTCCTCCAATCAGGAGCAAGTCCTACAGTTTATTAGTTGAACTGGAGGCAGCTGTGCGGAAGCTGTTTACTTCTCTCCCAACGCCACATTGTGGGAGAGCAGATGCATAGAATAAGTCTTAATTCGAGTAACTTAGTCTAGTCCGGATTGCTCCCCACAATAAATCACTCTGGTGTCTGCTGAGTAGTATTCCATTAGAGGCTGTGTGGTGGAATAGATGGCTGCTGGCAAGCGAGCGTAGTTACTCAGGAATGGCTTCGAAACCCACCTGGCAAAGGAGCCTGCCTGGCAACAGGCTGTTATTGGATGGCTTCGGATACTGCCTGGCAACAGGCTATGATTGGTTAGGGCATAAACTGCCCCTTGACTGGATTGGCTGCCTTGGCTATTTAAGCTACTGTACCAACTGAAATAAACGAATCTGCAGGCTGCTCGCCTCTGGCCCGCTTTTACCCGACTCCCAGGGTCTGTGTGGTGACTCCGCACCTCTTGCCCCCACCACACTCCTCCTCTGAGAAGAAATCTACCTCAACATCTGGTGTGCCAAAGTGACTGAGAAAGAGACAGCATGTCGGGCTTGGCGAGGTACCCCCTGGATTTCGGCAAGTAGGGCCCCCGGTGTTTTGTGTGCTGTTCGGTTCTGTGAGGGTGAGCACAGAACCTCCTCCTACGCCCCTTTCCTTGTCCTTGTCCTCGGTCTAAGTGACCCCAGGTTAGGCACACACTGCCCAGAAGCGCACGCCACTTCTCGGCTCTTCCTTTTACTTTCGGTTCGCCCGGTGAATTCACATAGGGACTGATCATCCCAGAATTCAGAACCAAGTCATCTTCCCTCACTCGAGAGACGTGACGCTCCACAGACACTGTGTGGGCATACAGCCTTGACCTAACAAATCAAGGAAGCCCCCCAATAAGCACAGGACATACCTACGATCTGATACACCACTGTCTTCGTCTAACGTAGGGACCCCTGCAGAATGCCATCAGCCTCTGAGGGGCTAGGAATTTGTTTTGTTATGGCAGCAGTGCTGTGCGTGTCTTTCCTTTGGCTAGAGTTGGTGTGGCGTGCCACTCTTAAGTGCTCAAACATGGGAAAGATACCTCC